GTAATATTCGTATTATGTTTATTCTTATACGAATGAGAAATAGTTTTAGTAGTATAACTGTGTCGCCTCATTCTTGTCATATGTAATATCATTCGTACTATTAACATTACTGGTTGTTGATAATATCCGGATTAGTGTTGTTAATGTTATGTTATTCATAGACTTCGTAGTACCATTTACAAGTATTCTTATAATAAGTAATCGTAGTCTTCTCCTAAGGAAAATTCTTATTCATCGCAATAGTCTTCTAAGTCTTGTTAGTACCATATGTACATAACTGTTTTGAAAATACTGCTTAATATTACTATTTTTCCTCCTCCTCCTTTTCCTCCTCCTCCTCCTCCTCCTCTTCTTCCTCCTCCGCTTCCTCGTCCTCTTGCTGTTCCTCTTTCTCCTCCTCCTCCTCCTCCACCTCCACCTCCCACCTCCTACTCCTCCTCCTCCTCCTCCTCCTCCGCCTTCTATTCCTCCACCTCCTCCACGTCCTCCTCCTCCTCCTCCTCCTTCCTCCTCCTCCCCCTTCCCCCTCCTCCTCCCAACCGAAGGGGGGGCCCCCCTCCCCTACGGAAAGGGAATCGAACCAAGGCGGGGGCCGTCGTCGTCGTCGTCGTCCTCGTCGTCGTCCTCGTCGTCGTCGTCGTGGTCGACGTCGTCGTCGTCGACCCCCGCCCTGCATCTGAGGGGGGGGGCCTTGTACAGCCTGTGCGCGTCGTCGTCGCAATCGCCGTGGCCGTCACCGTCGCCGTCGCCGTCGCCTTGGCCGTCACCGTCGCCGTCGCCGCCGCCGTCGCCGTCGCCGTCGCCGCAGCCGTCGCCGCCGTCGCCAAAACGCGTTTTTCTAAAAAGGACGCGATTCATGGACGCTCGCCTGGAAAGTACTCCGACAGTAGGACACTACACGAGAAGCTGCTTAGCTCGCCGTTCGCCCTTTCCTCCTCGCCTTGGCGGACGCCCTCCTTTCGCCCTCTGCTCTGCCCTCTCATCCTCTTCCTCCTTCTACGTATCCTCCTCCTTCTCATCCTCCTCTCCCTTCTCCACCTCCTCCACATCATTTCCCTCCCCCTACCCTCTTCCCCCGCCGCACCCCCCTCCTGCCTTTTCTCCACGAGCGCCCCCCCCATTCCCCAGGCCGGGGCAAGCAAGTTGATTTTCCTCGGCGCCGTCGCCGCCGCGGCCAGCACGCGCGCGTTCGCCGACGGCTAGATTGCGAAGCCTCCGGGGCAGTCCCGCAGGCCACGCCTTTGGGACAAGCCTGCGGGACGCTGAGGCGCGGGGGCGGACCGCCGGGGCAACCCCGCGGGCCCCGAGGCGGGCGCGGCCGCGCTCGGGCGGGAGGCGGCGCGAAGTCCAGCCGCGCTGCGAGCTGCCCCGCCTCGGTCCTGAAGCTCTTCGCTATCTCGTCGAATTCCCGGAGCGCGTCCGCGGGGGCGCCGGCGGCCCGCGCCCGGGGAACTCGCGCGCGAGCGGCCGCTGAATCAGAATGTTCCCCGCGCGCGACGCGGAAGAACATGACGCAGAGGCGCAGCCACCACTGCTCGTCCGACATGCCCACGCGATCAGCGTCCTCGCCCCTGGCGCAATCGATGGCGATGCCCTTGCGCAGCGTCTGGCCCAGAGAAAGCGTGGAAGTCTGGCACGACGCGCGCGTCAGGGTGAACGCCGAGCGGCGCACGACGCGCGTCCCCGAGCTCTGCCAGGTGAGCTCCTGCTCGCCGGGCCTGAACATCAGCAAGCTCCTCGCCCGCGCCTCGGCCTCGCCGTCGTCGCCAGCGCCTTCGGCGCCCTGTAGCAGCATCTCGGCGACCTCCTGGTAGACGAGGAACTCCTGGAAGCCGTGCACCTGCAGTAGGCAGCGGGGGCTAAGGAGTTGGCCCGGCGCGCACTCCTCGCACTCCCGCTCGTCATCTGGGTGAAACGCGACGGAAACGATGGTGAACCGTTGCTCTTGCATGAGCCCCAACTTGTTCTTCAGCTCCTCCTGCACGGCCGTGAACCGAACTTCCATGCCGACGTGTGCCAGTAAGACGCCGTGGACACAAGGGTTTTCCCCCTGCGCCCGATTCGGCTGACGATGGTTCACCACCGCCACCCCGGAGTCAAGGGTTTCCCCCTGTCCCCGATTCGGCTGACGATGGGTTACCACCCCCAGCCCTGACGCAAAGGTTTCCCCGTACGCCCGATTCGGCTGACAATGGTTACCACCCCCAGCCCGGAGACAAAGGTTCCCATCTGCCCCCGAATTCGACTGACGATGGGTTACCACCGCCAACCCAGACGCAAGGGTTTCCCCCGGCGCCCGCTTCGGCCGAAGATGGGTTACCACCCCTGGCCGGACGAAAGGGTCTCCCTCTGCGCCCCGCCGCCGTCGTCCTCCTCAACTCCTGTCCCTCTTCCTCATCATCTGATGGGTCGAGCGAACGGCCCATTTGAGAAGACAAAATTGACCCCGCTCGGATTGGCCCGCGAGAGCTCGCATCACCCTTCGTGTCTGAGGAGCCCAGCAGCGACGACAGCTACAAGATCCCGAGGCCTCCCTCGGACTCTAACGTGGAGCCGCGGGCCCCACAGCGAGGGGGCTCCCGCGCGTGTCTTCCTCGCGACTCGCTCGCACGCGAGGCTCCCGCCCCAGACTTCCTCGAGAGGGCCCCATAGGGCAGGGGCTCCCGCCTGAGACTTCCTCGCAATGCACTCACAGCCGAGGCTCCCGCCGGATACCTCCTCCCTATTCAGGCCTCAGGAGCCCAAAAACAACGACGGTTGCAAGATCTGGATGACCCGCTCGGATTACCAGCATGAAGTGGGGGTTCCATAGGCAAGGGGCCCATGCCGCAGACGTCCTCGCAATTCACTCACAGACGAGGCTCCTGCCTTAGACTTCCTCCATCTTCAGGCCTCAGGAGTCCAACAATGACGAGAATTGCAAGATCTTGATGACCCGTTCGGATTATCAACATGAAATGCGAGTTCCATAGGGAACAGGCCCATGCTTCAGACTTCCTCGCAATTCACTCACAGACGAGGCTCCCGACTTGAATTTCCTCCATATTCAGGCCTCAGGAGCCAAACATTGACGACAATTACAGGATCTGGATGACCCGCTCGGATTGCAAACATGAAGTGCGGGCTCCATCGGGAGGGGGCCCACGCCTGAGACTTCCTTACAATTCACTCACAGACGAGCCTCCCGCCTTGGACTTCCTCAAGACGAATGCATGAGTGTGTGACTATGTGAGTGTGTGTGTGTGTTTTTGTGTGAGTGCGTTTTGTGTGCGTGTGAATGAGTGTGGGAGTATTGTCGAAGATGTTGATGATGATGATGATGATGATGATGATGATGATGATGCTGATGCTGATGATGATGATGCTAGTATTGATGTTGATGATGATGAGTGTGAATGCGTAAGTGTGTGAGTGAGTGAGTGAGTGAGTGAGTGAGTGAGTGAGTGAGTGAGTGAAAGAGAGACGACGACGAGAGGGTGATGATGATGATGGTGATGGTGATGGTCATGGTGATGGTGACGGTGATGGTGATGGTGATGGTGATGATGACGATGAGGATGAGGATGAGGGTGATGATGATGGTGATGATGATGCTGATGATGCTGATGATGATGGTGATGATGATGAAGATGATGATGATCTGGATGGGTTCCTGCTCCTGTTCCTGCGCGGGGTGTCCAAGATAACAAGAACCCCACTTAGGATGTGGGAGAAAACACCTTGACACGTTGAACCCGAACGGGGGGGGGCCCTTCGCCGTCGCTGCCCAACGGCGCTGGCGCCAGCACTGGCGCTCGCCGTCGTCGGTTGCAAGGGGGGCGGCCCCCTCCTGGTTCGAGCCATCCCCCCTTTGGCCAAGCCAGGGGGGCGCACCCCCCTCGGTGCGAACAACCCCCTCCTTGGACAGAGAGGGTGCCCTCCCCCCCCCCGTTCGAACACCCGCCTTTCTTGGACAGGGGGAGGGCCCCCCCCCTTTGCAACTCAAGGGAGAAGGGCCCCCCCCACGGTTCGAACCCCCCCCCTTCTTTCAGAGGCGGGGCCCTCGCCCTGTCCGAACGCCCCCCCCCTTGCATCTCGGGGGGGGGCCCCAGTTCGAACCCCCCCCTTCCCAGCGTCCACAGAACGCGCTGTTTCCGAACTCGACGACGACGACGACGACGACGACGACGATGACGACGACAACGACGACAACGACGACAACGACGACAACGACGACGACCGACGACGACGACGACGACGACGACGACGACGACAACGACGACGACGACGACGCAGAGGCGGCACAGCGCGGAGGGGATTCCGAGGGGCGCGGGGTGCACTTCGCGAAGGGGGGTGAAAGACCAGGGTGGGATGGGGAAGCAGAGGCGGCGGAAAGCGGATAGTAGGCTTCTGTGAGAGAAGTGCCGGAGCAGCGGGCGCGGACGACGCCTCCTCGGGGAGCCCTCTCGATGGCGGGGCAGCACGGCGGCGCGCTGCGGGCGCGGCGCGACACGCGCCGCCGCGTGCAGCTGGGCGGGGTCCCGGGGCCTCTTGGAAGAGCCCCGCGCGCGGCATCTGTGAGGCGACGGGGGATTTCGGCGACGGGCGGCGGCGAGGACGAGCAAGACCAAAAGGCCTCCTCCACTTCCTCTACGGGCACACGTGGCAGCGAAGCGAGGCTGACTACGCGGCGACCACGCAGAGCTCTGTCCATACCCAGCGTCGCGTGTGCGTGGTTGTCGGCGCCCGGGGGGGCCATGGTATGTTGAATTGCGGGGAGCCGTCCGCCAGCCAGCGCCCGCCTGGACCAAAGGATTGTATGGCAAGGCACGTTCGCACGAGCGACCGACGCAGAACATCACACCCCATCCCGACGGAATGCATTCGACGCATCATTGACATTCTTATGAGCCATCTGCATTCTAAAGCCTGCGTGCGTTCTCCCGCACGTCGCCGTCCCGTACTAGTGGCCTCCTAGATGGGGTCGGAGTAGATGGGGTCGGAAGATCGCGCCGCATCGCCGATACATCGGCGATGCATCGGCGACGTCGACGCGAGGCAAATCGGGCTGCACATCGAGCCGCATCGGCGATGCATCGTCGATACGGCCCGATCCTCCGACCCCATCTACCCCGACCCCATCTAGGAGGCCTAGACGTACGTCGCCGCAGTCTGACTGCGATGCGAGTGCGCATGTTTTGAGGAACGACGAACGCGGCGTCCAACACGGTCGGTCAGCTCGTTGGCCGCGCCGGGCGAGGAGGGCGGCCGCAGCAGGGGGAACGCGCGGGGAGCCCTCACGAGCAGAATCTTCGCCGCGAGGAGTGCGAAGGCGGCCTGAAGCACCGAAAAACGGGGTGCTGTAAGGTCAGCGACCTACGCACGCCGTCGAAGGAGAGGGTACCGCAGGTCCCACCAGAGAAGCAAGCCAGCATCTACTAGAAGGAAGGCAGAATGCCTGTGCCTGGCCAGGGCCGTCGCCGGCCGTCGTCAGGGGGTCTGGCACCACGAGGGCGAGGTAATGCAAACCTCCAGTGCACAATCGCGCGTGCGGCGCCAATCCAGGGACCTAGGCCTTGCAGTAGTGCAGCACGACGGGCGTCCCAGAGCCCGGAATGCCGCCATGGCGGCCGGGTGAGTGGGAGGCGAAGCGAGAGAGGGCCACATGTGCATGCACGCGCGTAGAGGGGACAACGGAGAAGGCTGAACTCATTGAAGACAGCGACAAGTGTGCTCAAAGGCCACTCCTTCTCACCCCTTGTCCCCACTCTCTCCTGTCTTACCTCTGTCTGGCATCTCCAAGGGCCACGAGAATGTCCCCGCGACAGACCGTCCCAGCGCACCGCCTCAGCATTCGAACCTCAAACAGACACTCAATATCACGGGCACGTTCGGATCCAATCTTGTGCTCGAGCCTAATTATGAAGACTCTCAGATTTGAGCCTGTTTAGGCGCTCAAGATTCTGACGATAACTCCGCCCGACCCAAACAGGATGTCCAATCGATCTGGCCCAACCGGGTCCAGGGGTGGCCAACTCCAGAAACTCCTGGAGCAGAAGAGATGGCCTCTCTTGGTCGGCGGTTCAAAGATGGGGCCCTGAGGGATGGGGTCCTGAGGATGGGAAGGGATCCAAGGGTGGATTTACAATGTTTAAGGCACCTCGTCCTCAAGACCCCATCCCTCAGGACCCCATCTTGGAACCACCGATTTGGGCGGTCTACCTCTACTGCCGCAGGCCTCCGCCGACCTTCCGCTAGCTTCCGCCGAGGGCGAGACGCCTGCATCTCCACTCCTCGAGGAAGGGGCCCTCGGCGGGCCGTCCTGACTTGGCGACGGTGTGTGTGTGTGTGTGTCGATCTCGGATGGAAACGGGACACGTCGCTGATCCACGTGCCCTCATCAATGTCTGCGCCTCCTCGGATCTGGCCGACCTCGGCAGGATGTCCCGTCCGTCATGGGGGGCGGCAGCGGGGGCAGGAGATAGAGGAAGGGAAAACGCCACAAGCATGAACGTGTGGCGCTCCGCACGGACTTCTTAGACCTGCGCTGGACCCCCCTCCCTGGCGCGCGGTTCATGTTTATGATGGCGCTTTCCCTTCCCTCGCGGCAAGGCGAGGCGCGCCCGGGCGGGGCCGCCCGGCGGCGCCGCCCGCCCCGAGGGAACTCGCTGCAGGGCCACCGCCTCCCGCCTCGAGGGGGGGCGGGAGCGGGCTCCTCCTCCTCCTCCTCCTCCTCCTCCTCCTCCTCCTCCTCCTCCTCCTCCAGTACCATATCGGCTTAAGTCCCTCGTCGCGGGGCCGTCGGCCCGCCGTTCGACCGATGCCGGGTACGCAGGACGCCCGCGCTGCGAAGCTGTCGCTGGAAGCCGCGCGCGGCGCGGTCCTGGCGACGCACGCGGCGGCCGGGCTGGCGGGCGGCCAGCGGGAGGCGGTGCGCCTCATCCGCGCCGCCGAGGGCCTCCTTCGTGCGGCGGTCGCTGTGATGGCGACGCCCCCCGAGCCCGCCCCGCCCCAGACGGCGGCGGTCGCGCCCCCCGCTGCCCCTCGGCGGCGGCGCCGCCCGCGCGGACGTGGCGGGAGGGCGGGCGGCGGGAGCAACACGGAGATGGCCGAGGACGGGTGCGGGGCGGCGGAGGGTGCTGCGCGGGGCGCCGCGGCTCCCGCCTCGCCGCTGGCGTCCGACGAGTGGGCGGATGCGCTGCCCGTCGTCGTGAGCGCCGAGGGCCAGGGCAAGGTCAAAGACAAGGGCAAGGTGGTGCCTGGCTTCCCCACAGCGCGGGCCGGCCGCGTCGCGGTCGCGCTCGAGCTGGTGCAGCTCCCCGTCGCGGCGGCCAGCGGCGGCTCGGAGGGTGTCGGCGACATCGACGCGGGCGAGCTCTCGGCGCTGCAGGCCTGGGTGGCGAGCCAGGCGCCTGGTGGTCGTCCTCCCGGAGGTCGGCCCGGCGCTGCGGGCACGTCGTGATGCCCGTCGGCATGGGTAAGTCCGTCGGGGTCTGAGCCGTGGCACGACTGTTTCGTGTACGCGGTCGGGGGGTCTGGCTCCTCAGGTGGAGACCAGGCCCCCCGCGGTCTCAGCGAACCTTCGCCGTCTGCCTCGCGCTCTCTCTCTCTCTCTCCTCCTCCTCCTCCTCCTCCTCCTCCTCCTCCTCCTCCTCCTCCTCCTCCTCCTCCTCCTCCTCCTCCTCCTCCTCCTCCTCCCCTCCTCCTCCTCCTCCTCCTCCTCCTCCTCCTCCTCCTCCTCCTCCTCCTCCTCCTCCTCCTCCTCCTCCTCCTCCTCCTCCTCCTCCTCCTCCTCGGGAGGACCGGGCAGGAGGGGGCGAGAGGCGGACAGCGGAGGGGAGGGAGAGGCAGGAGAGCCCAGCATCGAATCGAGAAGTCCAATCGGCGATCGACACGAATCGGGTCGGCGGAGATCGGCGGCCGAGTCGGGAAGAGTCGAATCGGCGGAAATCGACAGAGTAGTAATGCCTCGAATCCAAATCGGAATGCTAAGTCGAGTCGAATCAGAATCGGAGTCGGAGTCCAACGAAATCGAATCGAACCGAATCGGAGGAATCGAAACGAGCCCTGGAGAGAGGACACCGGGGAATGACGGGATGGAGAGCAAGAGGGAACCTTTCCTGACATGAACGGGAAGCGCGTGAAAGGACAGAGCTGCGCAAGAACGCGCAGCATCATCACGATAAAATATAATATAGGCGAACTCTCCGAACGTCCACAGGGGTTACCTACGGACACGCGCTCCCCGAACGTCCACAAGGAGAGTCCTGATTATCCTCCTCACTTCTCTGTGCGCCTCCAATGTCGTCCGTCTATCCCTCACTTATCTGATGTGTTCGAAGGCCCGTCCGAAGCCACACACACACACACACACGCACACGCACACACACACACACACACAGGAGGAAGAGGCTCTGGTACGTTTTAGAAGACCTCCTCAAAAGCATTTGCAAGGGGGATGTCTCGAGCGAAACGCTTACTTATCTGATGTGTTCGAGTAGGAGGGGGCGAAAGACATGGAGGAACGTGAGGAGCAGACGGCCCTCACGACTGCCCAACAAAGCCTCACAATACGATCATATACAAGAACTTAATATAGAGGAAGTATCATATACAAGGACCATCGTACACGAGGAAGATCATATACAACGAAGGCCATATTCATACAAAATCATATACAACTAAGGGGCCGCCCACCCGCCGTCTCGCATATAGGCGACTGCACCGCCCCTACTCCCGGGGGTCCCTGGGCGGCCATAGCATATCTCTGGGATTGTCCAGGGCTTCAATGACGGCCCAGGAAGCCCACCCAGGCCACCAAGATAGCCCAGAATCGCTCCAAGGCGGCCCAAGATGGCCTCCAGACGGCCCAAAAGGACTCCAACACGCCCCAAGAGGCCTCCAAGAGCCCTGCCAAGAGACATCATATACAAGAAATGTCATAGACAAGGGCGATCATATACAAGAACTTCATATAGGGGAAGTATCATATACAAGGACCACCAGTATCATATACAAGGACCAAGTATCATATACAAGGTTATCCCAGAACACCCCGAAAATATGTCTCATAGCAGCTCTTTCGACATTCCATTTTTCCGACGATATCTCAGGCGAAACGGCCGTTTTTGAAGTTCCGAAAATTAGGCCAGCGATTTCAATATCCCGATGTTTTGAGGATGTCTCAGGCGAAACGCTCATGTTTAACATAAGACGTCTTAAGACACGACCCCAAACTTCACGATTTGGCGAGGACGTCTCAGACGAAACGCTCGTTTAGGCCCGTTCGAAGGCATTTTGTAAGCGATGTCTCGAGTGAAACGCTGATTTTTCAACGAAAATGTACAAAACAATTTGATGTTTTCAATATTTTCGCTTCTTGGGCCATCTTGGGGGGTCATCCGAGATCGCTCCGAAAAGATGCCTTACAAGAGCTGTGTCGGCATCCCATTTTATCGAGGATGTCTCTGGCGAGACGCCCATTTTCGAGGAACCGAGAATTAGGACGTCGATTTCGACATCCCGATGTTTTGAGGATGTCCCGAGCGAAACGCCCATTTTTAGCAAACGACGTCTTAAGATACGACCCCCAACTTCACGATGTTATGAGGATGTCTCGAGCGAAACGCTCGTTTGGGGAACCTTTCCAGACAAGAACGGGAAGCGCCGCTTCTCTGAGCTTGCGTGCGCACGCGCAGGGCTTTGCACACAACGTGGAATGTGTGCACATGGGGTTGGTCGTCGCTGGGCTTCCCTAAACGCCCAGATGGTTGCCATGAGTAGCTTGTGTTGAGTGGTTGCCTCTGGTTGGGTTGGTCAGGTGCTGCGCGTGGCCTGTATGCGTGTGTGCGTGCGTGTGCTTGTGTGTGCGTGTGCAGGTGCGTGTGCGGCTGTGTGCGTATGTGTGCGTATGTGTGCCTGCGTGAGAGCGTGTATGCAGTATGTGTTCCGGGGGGGGCGGGACGGGGGGGGGGGGGCGGTGTGTGTGCCGGGTGTGTGCTGGGCGGGCGGGCGGGGGGGGGAGAACGGTGGGCGTCCGTTTTAAACCGCGCGGCCGTTTTAACGTGATGACGCTAACGAGGATGATGACAATGTGATGATGATGCCGACGATGATGATGATAGTGGTGATGACGAGGATGATGATGAAGACGATGAAGGGTATCTTGGACCGTCTTGCAGTGCTCTTGGAGATTCTGGGAGCCCTCTTGAGCCCCTCTTGGACCGTCTTGGTGATGATCATGATGATGATCATGATGATAATGGCGATGATGATGACGATGATGACGATGATGACGATGATGATGATGATATTGATGATGATATTGATGATGATGATGATGATGATGATGATGACGATGATGATGATGATGATGATGATGATGATGATGATGATGATGATGATGATGATGATGATGATGATGATGATGATAGGGCATCTTGGACCGTAAAGGAGCATTCTTGGACAGTCTTGGAGCCCTCTTGAGCTCTTCTCGGACCGACTCGTTTCGCAAGCTCCCTGGATATCACCGTTTTTCGAGGATGTCTCGAGCGAGAGCCCCATTTTGAACCGAAGACGTCTCGAAGCAGCTCGTCCACTATCCCATTTGTCGAGGATGTCTCGAGCGAGAGCCTCATCTTTAAGATTTCGACGAATTCGCGAGATCCCTGGAGATCTCACTTATTCGAGGATGTCTCAAACGGGAGCCTCACTTTTGACGTAAAGCGTCTTAAAACAAGTCCTTCAAGATCCCACTTCTTAGAGGATGTCTCGAGCGAAACGGCCGTTTTGGGGGGAATCCGCCAATCGATCCCCCCGCCCGATCCCGAGCCCGTGGTCCCTCGCGTCTCTGTTCTTTTATTAACTCGTAGGAAGCATGGCCTAAGAAACTCCCACCACCTTCTCGTTCCGAGAAGGCGCTTCCCGTCATCCGCCAGGCTCTGGACCACGAGGCGGCGCCGCACGTTCCCCCTCCAGACCTCCCCCTGATAAATAAATCCCTCTGGGCAAACAGACGTCCATCGCGCGACTCTTCGAGTCTTGGCGCGCTTCCCGTCATCCGCCAACCCTGTCGGCGTGCGTGAGGGACTTGTCTGTTCGAGTCGTCGTCTCCGTCAGCCGTCGTCTCCGTCCCCTTTCCCCGCACCCTCATCCTCAAGCTTGTCAGCGAGAGAAAAATCTAGCAATGTCAAAAACGAGTCGAAGGGAAGACCCTTCCCTTTGATCCCTCACCCGTGGGGGGGAGGTCTCAGGGGGAGGGAGGGGAGGCGCGGGGGGGGGTCCCAGGGGGGTCACATACGCATCCCCCCTGGGGGTCCTGGGGCCTCAGAAAATGCCAAGACTGGACAAGAGTACCCCAAGAGGCCCCCGAGATGGTCCAAAAGGGCCCCCAATCGCCAAACGATCGGTTCAAAACGCCTTCCTCCAGACTGCCCAGGAGGCTTCCAGGACGCCCCAGCACTCCCGAGAGAGCCCCAAGAGGCCAAATGAATTGATTGTCCGTTCAGATTTGGGCGTTATCGCCTTTTCCACTTCCCGCCGATCCAAGACGGCGCAAGAGGCCCCCAAGATCAGCCCAAGAGGACTCCAAGGCAGCCCAAAACGCCTCCAAGACAGCCCAAGAGGCCCCCATGACGGCTCCAAGAGCGAGCCCAGGCGGGGGACCCCGAACGGACATTGCGAGCCCTCGGCCCCAAGAGGCTCCCAAGAGGCCCCAAGAGGTTCCCAAGAGGCCCCAAGAGGCCCAAAAGAGGTCCCCAGGAAGCCCGAAGAGGCCCCCCAGAGGCTCCCAAGAGGCTCCCAAAAGGCCCCAACATTTCTCCCCAGAGGCTCCCGAGAGCCTTCCGCAGGAACCCCAAGAAGCATTCCTGAGGACTCTGGCCAACGTCAGCTTCGTCGTCGTCGCCGCCGCTGGGACGTCGTCTCCGTTGTCGTCGTCATCTCCCTTCAGGGTCAGCGGCACCCGCCGGAAGGCCTTCGCAATAAAAAGGAGGATGAGGGAGGGGAGAAGAACGGAGAGAGGAAGAGAAGGAACAGGGAAGGAGGAGATGGAGAAGGTGGAGGATGAGAAACCCAGCCCCGCCTAACGTCGGGGTTAGGTGGCTCAGACCCCGCGGCTGCGCACTTCTTCCACCTGTCCACCGCTGCATGGCACAGCGTGTTGCCACTCCTCCTCCCCCTCCCCCCTGCTCCCCCTCTGCCACCTCCTCCGCCAAGCAGGCGTTTCCACTTCGCGAGGACGGCATTAAGTGCCCCTGGGGCAGCTTTTAAAGGAGGGGGGGGGCTATAGTTGACGCGTGACCTCGGACCTCAACCAATTGCCTAGGAGTCCCTCGGTGTGACGGGGCTGGGGGCCCACTCGGGTGTCACCTAACGTGGGATATGTGAGAAGGAAGAGGAGAGGGACGAGGTGGTGGAGGAAAAGAGGTTGAGGAGGAGGACGAGTAGATGGGGGAGAAGGGCAAGGGCGCGGGCGAGAGGGAGGTCAAGGGCGAGGGACCAAAAGAGAATGAGGGGAAGGTGGAAAAGGGGAGGAAGAGGACGACGAGGAGGCGGACGCGGGGGGGAAGGGAACACACAGGCTAGGGCAGGGTCAGAGCTTATGCCTCTGCGACCGTCGTGGTGATGGCCGTGGTAGACGTAGTCGAAGTAGTCGAAGTGGTCGAAGTGGTCGACTCAGTCGTTGAATTACTTCGGGCGAAAACCATCTGAGACGCAGGAAAAAGAAGGGAAACAGCGGAATAGCAGGCGTGGGCACAGGAGAAGCAGCAGCAGCAGCAACGATTCTAGGAGGGCGAGACTGAAGATTGGCAAAGAAGAGGATGAGCAGGACGAACTTGAAATATCTACATCCCAACTCCCCCTCCTCACTGTTCCTCCTCATCCCCCCCTCCTTCACATCACCCCCGGCCTCGTTTGCCCCTCTTCCTGAAAGGTATAAGATTGATCATTCCTCCCTCGTCCCTGCCTCATCGTCACTAGGTGTCCACATTCCTTCTCATTCCTTCTCCTCATCTTCCTCATTGTCTGCCTCCGCTTCCCCCTCCACATCCGACTCGGGCACCGCTTCCGCATCAGCATGGACCTCAGCATCCGCCTCGTGAATCGCCGACGCGCCCCGCCACCCCCAAAGTAATCATAGTAATCTTCATCATCATCATCATCATCATCATCATCATCATCATCATCATCATCATCATCATCCTCGTCGTCGTCGTTATCGTCGTCGTCTTCGTCGTCGTCGTTGTCGTCGTGGTCATAATAATCATCAGCAGCAGCGCAGCAGCATCATCACCATCACCATCGTCATCATCATCATCATCATCATCATCAGCATCATCATCATCACCATCACCATCATCATCACCCGCCATCATCATCATCATCACCACCACCACCATCATCATCATCATCATCATCATCATCAGCATCGGCATCCTCCTCGTCATCAACAACAAGATCGTTGTCGTCGTCACCACCAACGTGCCCATCACCATCACCACCATCAGCGCCATCGACATTGGCACCGACATCCTCATCGTCGTCGTCGGCATCATCATCATCATCATCATCATCAGCATCATCATCATCAGCAGCAGCATCATCATCATCACCATCATCATCTCCGTAGCCATTTTGGCTCAAGATGGCGCGATCAGGGCAGATGTCTGGTCCCATGTGGCTGGCTCTAGCCGTCGCGTCACTTCTTGGATCAGATTCCAAATCGACCAAGCTTTCAGCGAGGCCTTTGAGGCCACTGCTCTTTCATTTCCGTAACATTTCCGACACCCGGCCCCAGTCGCCCGATTGGGAGCCCAGCCGCGGCGGGCTCGACCAATGGCAGGACTAGGTGGTGGTTCGCGGGGTGCCGCGCGCGGCGGCGGCAGCAAAGGCGGCAGAGGCGGACGCGGAGGAGGTCAGCCAGGCGGAATTGGGGGCAGCAGCGGTGGTGGCAGCCAGCCCACACCCTGGGACTGTCCAAGAGCGGAGCCAAGAAGAACTGGGGCTCCAGGCACGCTTGCCGTAGCTGCGGATTTCATTGGTGGGAGCAAGGATCTGGTGCAAGCTCGTGGTGGAGTGGCATGTCGCACTTGGACGCCAAGGAACGCCACGAGCTCAACCAGTTGCGGCGCGAGGTCGAAAAGCTCGAAGGAGATGCCCTCGCAGCTTCAGGGGGCGATGGAGGCACAGCAGCAGCAGCCCACGCCGCACCGAAGGACGAGAGGGTACGGCAACTCGGGAAGTTGCGAAGCAACATCAAAAAGCTCGAGAAAATGGAGAGCGCAGCTGAAATACTAACAAGCAAGCGTCAGGAGGCGCAGCAGCTGGAGCACGAGCTTGCCGAGGAGAAGCCCACGCCCGTGCAACTCAGCGAGCTCGAGCGCAAGCAGCGGAACCAGCAGAACACCTCGGAGGCGCTCGCCAGGAAGACCGCGGACACCGCGAGGGAGATCACGGGCCTCGAGGCGCAGACGCTCGAATTCGAGGGCAAGCACGATCAGAGCAAGGCAGCGGAGAAGGACCTCCAGGCGCTCATCGACAACCTCTTGGCCAAGCACAAACGGGAGCGTGAAGAGCAACTCGGAGAAGGAGTGGTGGTGGCGGGCGCCACAGCAGCAGCGCCTCGGTCCCCAGCAGCCCCACTCAGCGAGGGCGAAGGCGCTACAGCTTTCTTGGAACCTTTGGACCAGGCCTCTGGCATGCTCAACACAGGTTACGCTCAGCACTGGGAGAAGCAAGTCTCCCAGCTTCGCCGGCTGGCTCACAGCGTCGCAGCAGCGGGCGCAGCAGCAGCAGAACGCGACAGCGGCGACGAGGAGCTCGAGCAGGCCGACCTCAGCAACATCCTGGACAGCACGGAGGAAGCGGTCGAGGTCCCAGCAGAGGAGGGCAGTGCGGCAGCAAGCGCTGGCAGCGGCGACGAAAAAGCTCGACGCGGGGACCCCGCAGCCCAGGCCGCCCAGAGGCGCAGGCTTCGCGCGCAGAAGCTCATCCAGAGCCTCCGCTCGGCGGGGCTCAAACGGAGGAGGAAGCGCGGGTAGCGAGCCCATACCCACGGTGGCCAGCCTCAACGGCAGCGGTCGGGCCCCCTTCACGACCATCCTTGGCGAGCAGCTGGACCCTCAACAACAGGCGGTCGCCGACGCTCACATGGGAGACGCGATCTGCTTCCAGGAACACCACCTCAACGGCTACAGTGCTGTCGAGCAGGAGCAGCGGTGCAGGCAGGTCGGCTGGAACGCGGCGCTGGCCCCAGGCGTGAGTTCCGTGGGGGCATCGCAGCAGCGCGCGGCGAGCGGTGGCACTGGAGTCGCAGCGCGCTCCACCCGCGGCATGCGCGGCCCAGGCGATCGGGGCTCAAAGGCCAGATGCCATGTCTCTGACGGAAGGGCCACGGTAGCCCGTATCAGCGGAGCGGTACCTGTCAGGTTCCTGCTGGGCTCCGTTTACCTGGACAACGACGACGTCGGCGAGACCAGCCAGTCCGTGCTGCAGGAGGTCGGCTCCCTCCTCAAGCGCACAGGGAAGCCATGGGTCATCGCAGGCGACTGGAACGTGGATCCCGAGCGTTTCCTTCAACGCGCGGCGCATTGGCTCTGCAAAGTCGGCGGTCACGTCGTTGACACGGGCGCGGGAACCTGCCAGCTCTCACCGACCAAGGAGCCCCCGGAGCTAGACTGGTTCATTGTCACCTCCGATATGTTCGACCGAGCCTTCGCCTGCATGCGCCTGGACATGACCGCCCAGGGGCACGCCAACGCTTGCCGCCCACATATGGCAGTGCAGCTCAGCCTCGCCTGCTACGGTGACATGGACCAGTCGTTCAGTGCCAAGGGGCCGATGGCGTTCCCCAACGCCCGCCCTTTCGGGCCCATGCTGGAGATGCACTAAAAACACAACGCTGTTCGGGCGCAGATCGACATGAGCGGCACCTTGCAGGACATGGAGGGGGGCCTACCAGGGGCTCTGCGAGGGCGTAGAGGAAGAGCCCGTCTGGGCGTACCAGATCGACCCCGCCGAAGTTCGCATTCGGCCCCCAGGCAAAGGCGCGCCCGATCAAGGGCCCCAAGGCCAGCTCCAAGGGGGAGAAGCTCATGCACCTCAGCGACAACTTCATACAGGCGGGGCTTCTCACAGGCGGCGCTGAGGCCGACGACGGGGGGGCCCGCGTTTGAAAGGCGCCTTGCGCTGGACCCCGAGCGCAGCGAGGCCGAGCGCATGCAGGCCAGGGCCATCAAGCGCTACAAGCGCGCGTTGGGGCGCCGAGCGCGCAGCTGGGTCTCAAGCCGTAGCAACCCCAACCACTACGACGACGAGGCCGGGAGAAGTGCGCGCCCCACATCTTCCGCATGCTGGGCTTGCCGACGCACGTCACCACGGGCCTGGCGCAGGATTTCGACAACCACATGCGCACCGCGACAGAGATCTGCTCTTCTGCGCGGCGGCGCGGAGGCACTGGCAGGCGCGGGCAGGTTCGTACTCTCCGACAGCTCGGCCAACTACATCCCGAAGATGGCGAGGAGGAGTGCCACCGAACTGTCGACAACCACGCGGAATCGAAGCGGCGGTTGGAGGAGCGCGGCGACTACAGCAGGCCCCTCGGCGCCACCTTCGCCCTCGATGTTTCGACCAGGCCTCCGACGGATTGGGAACCGCACGGGGGTGGGTGCCTGCCGGCGACGCCACAGCCCATGTTGAGTGGCGACCCTCGGGCGACGCCACAGCCCCCTTATCCTCTGCGCCGCTCTGGAAGGAGCGGCGGCTCTCGGCGACTGGAGCGCCCTCGAGGTTGGCGCGCAAGGAGTTTGGAGGGACCCCGGCGCATCGCGCGAAGCTGGCTCCCACACTTGCAGGCTCCCGACCCAGAGCGCGACAAAGCCGAGTGAATAAAACTATGCACACACTACGCATTTACACGCCTCTGCCAATGCAAAAGCGACGACGCCACCGACGCGAACACCGTGGAGGGCCCCAGCGGCGGAAACGCAGGGGCCGCACTAAAACCAGCAGCCGCGGGGGGGGCAAAAAAAAAAAACGTGATCCAGATCCGGCACCCTCCAGGATCCTTCGCCGCACTGGCGGCAGCAGGTGGGGGGGGGGGGCGCCCAGCAGCCCCCAGCGCGGGGCATGTAGCAGCGGCTTCGACAGCGGCAACCACGGGCAGCGGCAGCGCTGGCAGCGATGTCGAGAACGGCACCTGCACGGCTCAGCCGTCCACGGACCGAGCGGCCGCACTCTGGAACAGGGCCGTGGAGCTGCGCGAGGAGAGCTGGTCAGTCGCGCAGCCTGTGAGGGACGAGTACCACCGCGGCAGGATCGCCCTGGAGCCCAGCCACCCCGACGCGCGGGCAGTCGGGGACGACGAGCACTACAACTACATTCAGTCCGTCAAGCATTTCATGCGGCATCACGGGGACCTTCCGTCGGATTCCAGCGACGACGGCTACGACGGAGGCAACGGCGGCGGCAGCGCGGACGGCAGAGATGCGCGCGCAGGTGCGACAGCCCCGAAGCCCCCGACCATGGAGGGCCTCCCGCTGGGGGCGCAGTGGGCCGCACGCGTAGCCCTGGCGGCCGATTGCCCCGACCTGCAGCCCTTGGCCGAATGGGCTGCCGAGGCCAGGGCCGCGGCCGAGGCGGAGGGCGCCGCTTGCCGCCATTCGCTGCCAGGGGCTCAAGGAGTGGATCCG